GGAAGGCTCAGGTAAAAATGTGTCTAGGTACAGCAGGCTGAGTGACATGTTACCCCAGTTTTAAGAATAGAGGTATTAGAGAATTGTGAGGATGAAGCCAAGGGCTGAAGGATAAAAGACTGATTCCCTTCTGTTCTCATGAAGTTGGGAATGAGGACAGGTTGCTCATATGGTGAGATTTGTTGTTTTGGTGATGGCTGGAGTATACTTGAGTCATCATCATAGAGATGATGCCTGACTTTGAGTTTCTGTGAGGAGAAGCACAGAGAGTGAATGGATGAAGAAAGGACATTAAAAATAAAACCTATGGAGTGCTATGAACAGAGCAGAGATGGACAATGGTAAGTTTCCAACTCAGAGTACCCTGTGCAACACTCAGAGAAATGAGCCGAAGTTGGAGTCACAGAAACCATGTGGGTAAGATGGCAAGGAAGTGCTGAATGCTCATTTGTGCCCACAGCAGCCAAATTATCAGAGAAAGTGAAGATGGATTAAGTTCAGAGCTTTGCCAGAAGAAGAGATGTTACTAAGCTTTTATTGAGAGCAGTTTTGGTTGAACATGGAAGCCAGACCAGAATGATGCCTACAATAAAACTGAGGGAGCAGGTCTTTTGGTGAAGATGCCTGAGTTTGCATTGGGAGCCCAGGCAGCCAGCACAACTAACTTGGGGATGATCAGTAGTCAGCTGGACAAGGTTCTGAGCAGCCTGCTTTGACTGTGAAGTTAGCCCTGCACTCAGCAGGTTGGGCTGGAGGCCTCCAGAGACCACTTGCAACCTGTATCACTCAATAGGTTGTTCTATTAACTGACTGACACTGAGGGTGGCAGCAGTTGATGCAAAAAGCAGTGTTTTGTAGTGTTTTGTTAGATGAGAAATCTGCAGAAGTCTCACATCTGTAGTCTTAGGTTTCATGGAAAAAGACCCTCATATTAGTAGATGATCCTTAACCTTAAGATTTTAGTAATTCCTTCTATACCAAACTGCTGAGTTTTGTGCTAATATTTGGATTCTGTGAGCAAAATTTTTCATAACTACCTTTAAAAATGTATTTACATCTCTTTTTAGCAAACTGCTTTTTTTTCCTGTCCTCTTGAATAACATTGACCTCTTAACAGGTCTATCTTCATAATAAAGCTTTACCCTTTGTCTAGTTGAGAGTCTGTATAGAATACGGAAGGTTTGAAGGTGGAACACACCTATACATTGGGACATTTCTTCCTTTCATCCAATTTAACTCTCAGGTACCTGTGATTGATTTATTTTCCTCATACCTTCATTTCCTTTCAGTAAATGGAAAAGGGGGAATCACTGTGCTTAGATAATATTTAAAGCTCCTTGAGATCTGCAGTGGGAAAGGACTGTATAAGTGCTAAACATTCTACTATTTTGCTCTTTTGTTTCTTTTTTTTTTTTTTTTGTGTAGGGTGGAGAGTACTAGGTATATGCATAAATACTTGTATACATATGGCATGTGTTTTCAAACTGGGAACATGCATATCTGGAAAACCTTCCAGTTTCATATTTTACCCTTGTAAAATGTTTTCTAAAACAGCAGCTTTTATTATTTAACTGTGCTACAAAAATATGGAATGTGGATAAGTGATTTTGGACAAATGCATACATCCTCAGGGAAGTTTCAGTGGACTCTGAATTAGAATCTGAAGTATTCTTCATAGTCCTTAATCCTGCTCTCCATCTTCCAACCCTGTGAAATGCAAGAGCTTCTAAACAAGGCCAGTAGCTTTCATGGTATGATTCTTGAGGTGCACCTAGTTGTCTGTGTATCCAGCTTCTGGATTTATTATTTCTTACATTTCGCTGAACTTGGTGCTGCTGTTTCTTTACGTTTTAACAATAAAACCAATTTTTCCCTTCTGGACTCTAGTTGACTTGATCTGCTACGACTATGCACAGATTGTTTGTCTTGGTGTTCCTATCTGGTCTGCAGGCACACACAGAGAATCATTCATGTTGAAGTGCAGAAAAGACCTATTCAGTTGTCCATTTGGCCTCTTTTTCTCCCCAGATCTTTTCCTCATATGCTAGGAGTTTGTCAGGCTTGTGGCTCATTTGTGGCTCCATGCCTTAAAAGTGTGACTGAAGATGAATCACTACAATGACAGTAGCATAGTTTTATTCTTTGTTTGCTGGTAAATGTCTGTTGTTAGGAATGAGACTGGTCACTTTGAAGATCAGTCTTTGTCTCTGAACTGCAGCAAGACTATGGAGGATCAGTTTTTTGCTGGCACCAAGAAAGATACTTAAATTGCCTAAAGGGTTAACATTGAATGCTAATCTGGTTCTTGTATCTAGAAAGTTTTCACTGCCATGAGCTTAACCTCCCAAATCTGACAACGTACAATTGCTGAGGACAGTCTTGTTGCCTTACTGTGAAGTCAAATTCTTGAATCATTAAGGTGAAGAGCTTTTACTGAGTCACTGAAGACTCTTATATTTTGCACAGTCCAAACTCTTTCAATGAAAGATGCCATCAATGAAGGGCATAAGGCAATACAAAGGCTGTAGAGATGAAGGGTTGTCTAGTTTATGTAGACCATGATCATCTCATAAATTCATCACTAAAATTTTCATGTAAAAATTCTTCAGTTCTCTTTTTCTGAGCACACAGGCAAGAGAAAGGAAGTGCTTCCTTTCTGCCTTATTTGAAGATATATCCAGAACAGTTTGTAACACTTCGATCTAACTAATGATTTCTTTAATCTTGCCATAAAAACTTGTTTTCAGAATCTCAGCATCACTGTCTCATAGCATCTTAAGTTTTTTTTCCTTTTAATCACAGTCACATGTACCTTCTTTGGCTTGTATACATTGTATATCCTCCAAGGATATCTTTAGCATATGCTGTAGTCTTGCTCTTTGATAAAAGCAAGGCACGTCTTTGGCTAATTGAAAGTCAGGGATTTTGCTTTGAACCTGAAATACTGTTTGGAATGCTATATATCCATCATATAGAAGAGGATATTGCTTCTGGCTAAAAAAGAATAGTAAGTTCATTGGTGAATTCTTCCTGCTTTTTTTTTTAAACTTGTATTGGGGGTAAGCAAAAATTTGTGTCATTGCTTTATGTGTGAAACTTTTTCTGGAGTTCTATTTGTTCTTAATCCAAATGCAAAGTTTGCATTTGAGAAAATGAGTAAGAATTTTCAAGTGGAAGAAAAGGTCATTTTGCCATGTCAGACAGGCTTATGTAGGGCAAGCTGTGTCTTAACTTGGTGAGTGGTTTTTTTGGTTGTGGGTTTTTTTGTTGGGTTTTTCTTTTCTTTTTTGTTTTTTTTTCTTTTATGGCAGGCAACTGTGGGGAGACCTTGATGGTGACATTACTTGGCAAACAATTTGGAATCAGCTCAGTAAGTGACATCACACCCCCTTAAGGTTTTCCACATAAAATACATCTTCAAAAAAAAAAAAAAAAGATACTTAATCTGAAAGCTATTATTATATCCTCTAAGGGCTCTTTAAGCACCTCAGCATTCCCTCTCTTCCCACCATTTTCCAGGCAGCTTGACTAAAAGTAGCAGACAATAGTGGTAAATGCTTTACAGTCTTCTTGGGAACTGGAACAGAGGTGGGGCAGAGGGGAAGGGATAGAGGGATATAGAGAGGGGCAGGGAAGAGAGTTTTAATCCAATGTCTGTCCTGTTTAAAAAATAAATGAATCACCCCAATGCTTAGTCTTTCCCTGTGTGCAGCTTTTCACAGTGTGAGCACATTGTCTGATGTAACATTTTGCCAATCTTAGCAAGTAGAGTTGTCTAGCTCTGCCTCCAAGAGATGAATATGTCATATTTTGAGGAGAAGACAGCAGAGATGAAAACTTCCCTTGATCTCAGGGTTTGGTTCCTGATTGATGATGATTCCCAAGAACAGTTCCTAGTATGTGCTTTTCTCTGTGTGTCTCTGCTTGCCTGCATCTTTACACATTTTTCTGAGGAGCAAAGCATTTTCTTCCCCAGCCTCATAACTGTGAGCCGTAAATCCGGCCGTGTGCTCGGTGTGTGCTGCCTTTGATGGACATGCAGGAGAGAGGTGCAGCACACGGGGGAACGCTGCCAGAATACGTAGGACATGATCTTACACAGGCCAGGGAAAGGAAGAATTATCTGTGCATAATGTCAGTTTAGAATAGGCTTGACGTTCTCACACCCAAACATTTCCATCTGTTCCTAAACGAAAGGAAACTGAGACAATATTCTCCTATCTTCTGGGCTAGCTATACAGGGAATAGGAAATGTTCTTTGATTTTTATTTTTTTTTTCCCTTGGGATGTGTTCGGTTTTATTGCAGATTCAAAGAAGGCACAGCCACACAAAGTGGCTTCTTTTAAGGACAGTAAATGAAATTAAATTCTTAATTCTTCTGAGAATTGATATTAAAACTGTAACACTGTGCTTAAACAAGCTGTGGCACTTCTAGGTTACTCTTTAAAAATAAAGCTGTTTTTATGGGTTTTATGCCAACTCTGATATGAGACCTTTGTCATTCTTACTTTCAAAGTTTTCTGGACATTATCCTCTGCCTTTGCTTTCTCGCTAGTATTTCTTTGTTTTGTCCAAATATCTACTTTTCCTCATGTCTTTTTCTTCTGCCATGAAAGGCTGCATGTCTGATAATGTGTTCTGTTCCTTACATACTGCAGAGAGTACCAAGCTTCTAAAACACACTGAAAGGTTCACCTGCTTCCTGTTGGTTATAACATCATACATCTGCTTGTCTCCATGTATTCTTTGCAGTGTAACATCCTCGGTGTCCTGCAACAGTGCTGAAGAATCTGCCAACCATTTGACCTACTTTGCTGGCTGATGGAGATGTAGACATAGTTGTTAGAAATCATTATTTTTGTTTTCCCAGCTGAACTCTCAAAATACAATTCCACAAGCATGTCTGATTTTTAGTAGATGCAAAATAAAGCAGAGAGAACCTTATGTGTAATGTTAAATTGTGCATATTTCTTAGTACTATGGTAAGAGATAACCTTACCTTTCACATTCTTGTTCCAGCAAGTTTGTAAACTCATCACTTTTTTCCATGTATTTGCTGTGCTTCCTCTTCTCTTCCTCTAGTTCATGCAGTGTCTGTCTGTGTGCTTTTTCCACCATTAGAAGTTGCTCCAGCATTCTTCTGTGAACTTCTTTCTGTTTCTCTACAACTTTATCAAGCTGCAAAAAGAAGAGAAAGACTCCTGAAGTATTTTGAAACTTTTGCTTTCTTGGACTTTCATTACTAAAAGTATTTTGAGAGCAGCTTAAAAATATAATAATAATAAGCCTAGTAGCAAGGTCATCAGGTATCAGTTTAATTCTGTCATTCTAATCCCAAAAAATTAGAAAAAATAAGGTACTGTTTTTCAAGACCCTCATTCGCCTTCCTTTCTTTCTCCTGCCATGTGTGATCCTCAACTTATTTTAACTAATTAACAGATACTGTTCCCAGGGTTGTGCTTTTCTCATTGATCACTGTGGTAGAGAACCAGATGTCTTGGCAGAAGAAGCATCGTCCAGTGCTTCACACAGTGGATGTCTTTTCATGACCAAACTGACTTTTGGTTGAGTAGAAATAGCTGCTTCACTTATAGCTGCCTAGGAAATAAGAGCATTAAATTGCTTTTGTAAGGTAGAGGTAGATCAAAAAGCAGTTTTCTGGTTTCACAATAAATGCATGGTTGTGCCAAGAGTGCAGAACAATCCTGTCTCTTGTGCTTACTCTGAGCATAGCTCTGGGTTTCTGGAATAAGTAAGTGCTGAATTTTTTAATAGTTAGAAGTATTTATTTTTAATGGTGGCATTTCCTGTTATGTTCCTTAGATTGCACATGTTGTTGAGGTACTTTTCTTTTATATGGCACCTTTATAGCACAGTTTGAGCATAAAATTCCCTTCCTTGAGGATTTCTGCTTAACACCTGATCAGAGAATCATTAAGCTTGGGAAAAACTTCCAAGATCATTGATTCTAATTCTTGACCAAACATCATCATGCCAACTAAACCATAGCACTAAGTGCCATGCCCAGTCATTTCTTGAACGGTTTCAGGGATGGTGACTCCACCACCTCCCTGGGCAGCCCATTCCAATGCCTGACCACCCTTATAGTAAAAAATGTTCAATTTTTCTAAATATTACTATATAGTGATATTTTAATATAAATAATCTATTTTAACTTTTGGCAATAACTTTTAATTTTTCTAAACCACAGAGATATTGGCATTACTGTTCACTAGACTTATGCTGTTAAAATAACTCCACAAACTGAGAGAAAACTGTGATTCTGAAGATTCTGTTACAATTTTGAGTTCAGTGTGTGACTGAGTTGTACAAGTGTGTGTATGAAACCATGAATGGTTTTCCTCCTTGGGCATTACTGATCTAGCTGAATAGTTTCAGGGAGGATCACTGGAGGCCATCAAAAGATCTGGGAAGAGTCTGTATTTGTGACCAGCTTTGTTCCCTGCTTGTTCCCCTTTGGAGACTGCCTCCCTCATCAGGTCAACATAGGAATCTTTGTGTCCTTTTTGGAAAAGAGAAATTTTGAGCTCGCAGCCCAGTGCCTCCTTCTAACCACAGTCTATTCTAGTAGGTCAATCTGATTGTAGTGTTTCACTCTATTAATAGGAAAGAATTCACAAATGGGCAGTGTGGGAAGCAAAACTGGTTCTGGTTCTCTGATGTTTCCCTCACAAGGAATTGCATGTGCCACAAGAAACAGTGGGGTTTCAGATTCTTAGGGCCACTGCTTGTTTTGGACAATTTAATTCCAGGGAGTATGATTAATTATCTTTTCCTCATGTTTATTCACAGTTTGGCCAATAGAAATGATGACAGTATGACTTTCTTGAATGAGTGAGGATATCATCAATTTCTACTTAGGTTTCCAAATTTACCCCTGCTTATCTCACCTTATTTTAAATCTATTTATATTCTCTTATGTTCCTCCTAAATAATTGTTAGCCTTTCATTGACACGACTGTGAATGAAGAAGAAAGAGCTATTCACAAGGCTTTGAAAATGGTTTGGGTCCAAAATATTCCAACAAAAAATTTTTGAACCATTTTTTTCTGCACTTATGGCATTAGAGACTCTTTTCTGTTGTAACACAGCTGAGCTTGTTTCATGCATGATCAAGAAATGTGAAGAAACCTGTGATTATTTGTTTTGCTGCTATTTTGTGGTGCTCTTACAGCAGATCATTAAGATTTTTTTACTTTGTTCACTGGTCATTTGTATGCTTACCCTAGTAAGGTGACTGCTTTCTGGAATCATGATCCTGAAGCACGACCTCCCCTGGAAAAACATTTCTTACCTAAACCCTTGCATATGCAATCTCTCTTAGTAAGCAAGAGTCGCCTTATACAGGAATCTTTTGGCTGTGCTTTCTATATCTTTTAAAACAGTTGAAAACTGGTTTGCCTTAAAAGGTCAGGTTGAGGAAATCTGTCCATTTTAATTTCTTCACACTCTCCCTTATATTACCAGAAGTGGAAATTTTAAAAATTGAAATCTTTTGTTCAGCTTCTAACTTCCAAAAAGATGTTTTATCAACCTTCGCACCACCCCACCACCCAAGATTTCAGAAGGGTTTTTGGAACAGGTATTACAGATTCATAAATGCCCTCACCTAAGTTTCTAATCCTTTTTAAAGATGATGCTGTCAGGTGAATATACAATGTTGTCAGAAAGCAATCTGGCTCCTGATTTTTGACAAAATTCTGGTGCAGTGCTGCTTGCAACTACGGCTCTGTTTGCTTAAATTGATGTGAGCTGGGCATCAGCTTTGCCAGGAGTGCCTGCTGGTCTCAGCCCTCAGTGTGAGGTCAGGCAGGCTCCATGGGTGGGGTTGAGAAAGTAAAGGCATTTATGTGGATTGGACCACCACTTTGAACAAGTATATGTAAAAATCTGAGGAGATATGTAAATTGCTGTCATAAGAAAGCACTGACATTTCTGGCTACAGTCTGATAATAAATTAAATGATCCTTGTTCTGAACATGTAAATGCTTGATTGAGGTGAGGTTTAGTCATCAGCCAAGCAACATTACCAAGTATAAAATAGTCCTGCTTCTTGCACTGTTTGGTAAAGGATGTGGGACCTACCAGGAGGGTTATATATTATTGTTCTGTACATTTTGTTTGTTTAGGGTACTTGTTGAATGGCTACAAGAGGTTAATTCAAGCAGTAATCTAAGCAGCATGTATGCAAAAATAAGTTATTAATTCCAGGGTGCTGTTTTGCAGCTCTCTGTACTTTTGTAGCACAGTAGCACGTTTGTCACTGTTGAGATTACAACATTTGGGATTACAGGCTGGTGTTCAGGATGGGTGAGGTGCGTATTTAAGGCAGGGAGTTGAAGCAAAGAATTTTAAAATGGCAAAAAGAAGAGTAGGTCTCTTGGGGAGACCTGCTCATATCAAAGAGAAAAGTATGAGCTGCTGTATTAAAGCAGTTTACATGTTGCAGTTTTCTCCTGTTGCTGGGAGTAGAAGATGCATTTCTGTTTCTTTTAAGCATGCTGTCAAATCATTTCTACTGTGAGCATTTGGCTGTTATGGCTGGGAACAAGGTGAAGATTGTGAGCTCGGGAGGGAAGGGAGGAAGTGCTAGGACTGTCTCCTGGTACAGGTGGCTCATAAAGGAGAGAATTGGAGAGACAGCAATCCTGTATCACAATTGATGCACACACTTGAGATCTGTGTGTGAGATATGTAACAGGAAAGGGCATTTGGCCTTGTGACACTTGTATGTCCCTGTGCAGCACACCTTCCCCTCCCTGCCTGGCCACACAAAGCTGGGACTGGGACTGGGTTGCTGCACTTCCTTGTGGTTTGTTGAGAAAATGATGTGGCCCTCTGCAAGATAAGGGCACCTCCCTTGGGAGCAAATTTGACTCTTGCATTTTCCCTGTGAGATCCTGTGGCTGACTCCCACATCTCCAGCAGAGAAGAGAGAGAAGTCATGTGAACCCCTGCTGGTGTGAGATCCTCACACAGAAGCGTCTCCAGCAGCCCTGGGTTCCTCACATTGCTCTGGCCAAATGCTAGGTCTGCCCATGCAGAAATATCCATTTATATGCATGCACACAAGTTTATTCAGCCTACACACTTCTTAGCTAAAAACCACAGAGGACTAATAAGCAGCAGTATAAATGTCTTCTGTTGAAAATTAAAGTGATAAAATCTTAATTAAGTGATTTGTTGTTTTGTTCTTGCTAACCATATGGGCTTTTTGCTAGAATTAATACTGAACACGCTGTACAATACAATGGAAAATCAGAGGCATAGCCTTACGTAACTGTGAATAGTTGAGCAAGCTAAAAATTCACATGAATTTAATAGTTGAACTACATTTTGCCACTAACTCTTGACTGAAGTCAAACTAGGATGGTGTATCTCATACCCATTACATCAGAACTAAACTGTTCATCTTTCTCTTTTTAGATTGTTTTGTGTTTGGTGGCATGCCAGAAGAAAATCCAGGGTAGTTACATTTTTTATCCGAAGTTCAGTGTAATATTATTCCTGTTAATAATATCCTCACAGTCATTGTTTATAAATGCACGATCCTGAGTTTAGGATTACCAGAGATTTTGAGAGCACTCCTTCCCTTGCCTTTTTCAACCCTAGCTGAGCCAAATTTCCATGCAGATACTTGGTGGTCTTCTCCTGAATGCCACCTTGTCAGCACTGCTGTTTGAGTCTCTTCCTGTGACTGACTTATTGGTGCCCTACAGCTGTGGAGGGCAAGTTGCCTTGGAAAGTTTTACCAACACTTAGCAGATATTGTGAAAACACAATTGAATAGCCTTTGTTAAAATACTGATGAGGGTGCATCTTTCCCCAAGGTGATAGGCAGTGGGATTTCAAAAATTGATTCAATTTTTAATTATCCTTGATGGATGCAAAATACAGGCTTTCCTCTCATTTAACTTGTTTTAGAGAAGCTCTCAAAGTGCTAGGAGGTTCATTCTATTTCAAACAGTGAGGCAAACGATTTTTTTTATTTTTGGCTATATTATTGGGAAAGTTAGAAACCAAAATCTGCTTTCTGATGCCATGAAGAGAAAAAGACACCACAAATTCTGCAGTGTCTTCATCTTTACCTCTCTTTTCCTACATCACCATCTCTGATTTTTTTGATTCCTTTAAAAAACATTGTTTATTTTTGAATCAGGGAAAATTATTCTTATATCGTTATTCTGCATTAACTAGAATGTTGAATACTCTTCATTGTCTATTCAAGAGAAGTGGAGATTGATCTGAAGACAGATTTTTTTCACAAAAGCTGACTACTTCTAAATTTATAAACCACGCAGAAATGGAAAACCTTTTCAGGCCTTTGAATCAGAAACAAAACCAAAATAAAAGTCTAATTCCTTTTATGGCACTCAAATATAGGTGCTAACAGTAATCCTATCTGAATTTTTTTAGGTTGCAGAAAGAAATAGCTGTAGAGCAAGTTTGATTGAAAAACCTGTTTTCAAAAAAAAAAATTACTATCTCCTCACAGCCAAACAAGAAATGGTTTTGGTCTGTCACACTTCTCATAGGTTTTGCAGAGGGAGATGTATTAATGCTGCTTTCTACATTTCTTCACCTATGAATCTTGTTCCCAATGAGTAAAGTTTTCCAGTCACCAAATTTTCCTACTACATTCTTAATCAAATTTGCCAAGAAACTTTACATTTAGAATAGATAAGATAATTGTGAGAGAAAGTTAAAGGACTGCAAGTCTTACAGTTGCCTTATGAAATTAATTGTAATTTCACTTGAGTTTTGGGAAGATTCTCTGTGTTCAGAGCTACCAGGCAAAACTCTCAAGGGTGAGATGCACATGCAGATACAAAGGTACATTGTCCTAGTAGCAAAGGGGAGAATTTAAATGGTCTGTTCCTGGACTTTGTGACTGGTTCCACCTCTCCTTTGGTCTCTATATGTGTTTTAAAAATACAAAAAAAAAAAAAAAAAAAAAAGGAAAACCTCCAGAAAAACAACAAACAACAGAATGGATCTCTGACATAATTCAGGGGGATTTTGAAACTGAAATTGTGGAATGCCTGCCTATTACAGCATTCTTTGGTTTACCAAGACCAAGAAAGGGCAATGGTCCTTCTACCCTTTCAGTTGCTCACAGGTGTTTACCTTTGCCTTTTGAAATTGCCAAATCCAGTGGTGCTAGAAATGATTTCTCTGCCATTAAATGTAAGAAGGAAAGAGTGTATAAACTTACATAAAGTAACTGACTGAGCTTATGTTTTCAAACTGTTTTGGACTTCTTAAACATTTCCATTTGTGCTCAAAGTTTCTGTGACATAATACCACAATGTTCTAAAATAAATTAAGCTTCACAGGTGAACTTTATCTGTTTCAGATTATAACCAGAGATTTTAACCTTTGAGCTTCTGAAATGAGAGTTGACCTTTTGCCTGACAAAATTTTGTCTGGAATGATTTCTGTATCCTTAGGTACATTTCTATTGAAAACAAACTTGGAAAACACTTGATAGAAGACTTTTATTCATAATTTCTGCTTTTATTTTGTGATGTTTATACTGAGCAGTATGTTAAAAAATGTTTATCTGAATTGGAGACAACTACCTGGGATAAAAAACCACAATCTGACGTGAAGGTGTTTTAATATCCAGTGATTTGCATTGCAGGGTAGAAACAAATCAGATAACATTGTTCAGAAAGTATGGCAGCTGCTGCTGCAGTGTAATTAAACTAAAGGTTACTTAGGTATAACATGAGAATATTAGATTTCTGCCTGGATGAAGTTTCTGATGCCAGCTCATTATAGTAACTCTTCAGACCAAGCAGGTATCCCCATGACTGCTCCTGAATTAATGGGAGCAGGGATATGCAGAGGTGCACAGCTGTGTCATTGCTACTGGATGGGCCTCCATGAGACAAGTGGGCACTGGTGAGATTTCTGCTTGTATGGGCTGGGAATGTGGATAACAGAAGGGGAAAAGAAAAGAAAAATAAGAGGATTTGAATTAGACAGAATCATGTATGTTGATGTGTAAAGCCCCCAGTCTGCAGTATAAGTGAGGATCACTAGATTCAGGTCCCAGCTGGATCCTGGACTGTGTTCTGCACTCACTCACACTCATGTTCCATTCCAGATTTACAGCTCATTTGCCTCCTTCCCCAGCAGTGGGTGAGATTTTTCTGTTGAATTAGGTCGGAACTGTGGTTAAATATCAATTACTCATTCTTACCTCTCCCATAGGCTTTTCATAGACATCTTCTTGCCATTGCTCAGCCTTTGTTTGAATAGCGTCGCGCTGGAGTGCCTCTAACACCTTCTTGGGAGTAACAAAGCCATATTGTGCTTCAAGCAAGGCTAAGTCAATTTTTTCAGCCTTAAGTACTCCTATAACTTCATCTTGAGCCTGCAGAAACACAAATTAAGACTTTATCTTCTTAAACTGTATTTATGTATTTACAGACCAGATCTCTGCTTTTGATTTTAAGAAAACTGAGAAACTTCTAAAATAGCACTATGTGTGTAAAGTGCTCCAAAACAGTTATATGAAGACAGTTGAAAAGCATGAGGGAAGTATTGGTCTTTGTATTTTATTAGTTCAGCATAAACTCCAAGATCTTCAGACCCTTCATCAAAGCTTAAGTAATTCTTTAATTATTAGATTGTTTTGCTATTTCTGGACTAATGTGTAGCATTCACAAGAAAAATTTTTAGGGCAAAGTACATCTTGTGGTATTAGAAATTGACTTGTTAGTGCAGGATGGTGGGATGTTTCTTGAAACCTGCAAGTGTTGTACATTCTGTGTGTTCTGGGTGTAGATGACTTCTGTAGTTTAAACCCTTTACAGATGTGTCCCTCCTGGGTTTTTCCCCCTACTCTGCATCCTCCAGTAGTGAAGGTTGCCCCCCTGCCTCTATTGCAGGGATCCAAATGACATGAACTGCCTCAAACATCTGTGCTGTGCAGTCATCTCAGTTAAAAACAAGTATGTGCTAATCCTAGAAGGATAGAATAGGAAGGAAGGGAATCAGAGAGAAGGGCATACCAGGGGAGGGTAACACTTCTAGTCTGACTCCTTTTGGTTGGAAGACTTCTGTATCCCCATTTCTGACTGTTTAAACAAATGTTAAAATATAAAATAGTCTATTTCTAATCCTTAGCAGAAAAAAAATAGAAGAGTGGTCTTTGTACACCTTGAATGTTCTGGAACTTGGAAAGGAATGGCATCTAAATTAGAAACATTGTTGTGATTGGATTGACAGCTGATCTTCAGTGATCTGACTTGGCAGTACAGGAGGTGGAAAATAAGGGATAAAAGATGACTTCCTATCTTTTTCATTCATAGTGTTGCTTCCTTTTAAATTTCAGATGTGATTTAAAATGTTGATGTCAGGCTCATTGTTTTCCAGTTCCTCATTTCCCTATTCCAGCTTTAAACCTTAATAATTGAAGAGTGTGTGTGTGTGTGTGTGTGTGTATATATATATATTTATATGATGCACATGTAATGAAGAGTGTGTGTATAATATAAATATATAAAAATGTGTGACATCTGAACTTTAACCTAAATTAAGAAAGGCCAAGTGAGCAGGGGAGAAATGTTTTGCAAACATGGAAATTGTTCTGTTTGGATAATGAAACAACGTGTAGAAGTTTGCCTTGAATCTACCCTCAAATATTGGTGCAGCTATTAAATATTCATATCACATGGGTGTTCTGTTCAGCGTGTCTGTATTATTATATAAACACACACACTTTAAGAATAGAACTTCCCAGGTACTGTCTAGTAATAAACTCTGACCCCATCTGCTACACCCATGTAGGCCACTTTGGCCAGGTTGCTTTTTTCTGTGCCTGTGAGCAGTTTTAAAGTTACTGCTTCTGTGTAATAAGGCTGCCATAGAAATATTTTCCCTGCTCACTGGAAATCTGGTTCCCACTTCCTGAAATGATATTTGACCAGGTTAAGCATCATTTACCACTTGACAGATGGTTCCTTTTCTAGGTAGAAAAATGCTCCCTCTTAAAATATAGTAACTTGTGGGCTAAGTGGCATGTAACACTTTTGCTTTGTATTATGGGAAATAAAATGGCTATTTTGATTTTTTTAGCCGTAAGTGTTAGAATACTGTTAAATTAATTACTTCTTGTGATGTGGCACATACTGTTTGATAGGGAGTAAAGCTCATGGAGTGAGAGGATAAGACATAATTAAGTAAAATATCTTAAAAGTCTGTAGTATGTTCTCCATATCAACCATACAATGACAAATATTTTGCATTCAGGATATTTAGAATGGGGCAGCACAGGTAGAAAGTTTTATGAGTTGTCTGCTTTGAGAGTTACTTGTGGTACAAAGATCATGTTTCCTGTCTGATAGCTATAATAGCTATAATTTTGGGGTGGTTTTGTATACTGCAGTTCATATTTGTCCTGTATCAGACTGTGTAAGGTGTTTTCTTAACATAAAAGCAGCATATGTTTGTGGTGGAGGGGATAATGGGGATGGAGTGTCTTTTAAATTCAGAGTATAAAGCAGGGCAATACATTACCTGTAATTCACCCTCAAGCACGCTGAGAAGAAATAGCAAGTCATCACGAGAGAGATCCTCTCTTTTCTTGACAGAACTTTTTTGTTTTTTCTCTGCCTTTGGACTTCTCAGGATGGTGCTGGCTCGGGCTACATCATCCTTCTCTTTCTGCTGTGTTTGTGCATTTCCTTTCCCACTGTAACCAGCCTCTCCTTTGTGGTGGTCTTTCACCCTCGGCTGGCTCAGCTTTGGTCTGGTTGGGCTTTCGGTGCTGTTAGTTCTGGAATGCATGGTTTATATCTCTGAAGCTGAAGGAAATTGGGGAGAAAAGTAATTGTTTTAGCTAACAGAGACTATAAAACTATTGCTATAATTGATGGTGTGTGTTATTCCCTCCAGAATAGTAATTCTCCTTCTGCACAAGGCTGTTAGTCATTTGACAAAAGCTGATAACCTTATGCAAACCAACAGGACTGGGCTATGATCCTTACTGGATGTCTCTAGTGAAGTGAGTATTTACTGGTCTTATGCCATTGTAGCAATTCCATCCTTGATACCTCAAAGACATCATCTTTAGCAGCAGCACTGGGTGCATCACTGCAAACCACGTTTCCTATTTTGTTACCTCACCTTTCAGATAGATACTTATCATGATGAGGCAGATTTAGGTTCAGAAGCTTTTCATTAGGAAGATCTTTCTGTTCTACTTTAATAGTGTTCTGTTTTCCTTTGTTTACCCAAGGGAGAGCACAAAAGCAGTCCTCCACTACTACAAGGTATGGAGGCTGCATTATCCATGTTTGGCAAAATGCAGGGACTAACAAACACATCCAGACTGCAAGAAGTGAGCAGCAGTGTAAATGCTCCCTCCCCAGCACCATCACCACCAAAACCAAACTTGCACCATCACAAACTTGCACCACCACACCAAAACCAAACATCACCACCACAACCACTACCTTGCAGATTATGACTTGTCCACTCTTAAAACCATGCAGTATAAAACCTTGCTACTTCTTTAGTGCTTGAGTCCAACGCTCTGGAGGTATTAGTACCTGGTGAAAGGGAGACTTCTCCTAACTAGGCCCCTTTGAAGTGCCACTGTTAAGGAAACATACTCTAATGCCTTTGCAGATAAATGACTAACACTGTATAAATATTGATTAACCTCAGGAACTCATGTTTTGGTTATCACCACTCAGATTAAGGAATGAATGGATTATAGTCCACCTCTGCTGGAAAACTGTGGTCATGGATACCATCTAGCAAACAATAACCCAATGGTGTGATTCAAAGGTGAAATTCAGCATGTTCCAAACACAAATAAGGCACAATTTTTCTTATTAAACTGCCAAGCTAATTGCTGAAAATGCTAGAAAATCATTATGGTCTATGATAGGCACTAGATGATTTCTTGGCTGCTTTTTTGCCTCAGTTCTGTGGCTGATAAAATTCTTTGGGAGCCTCCTCCCCTACTCCCACCAGATTCTGACTAAATCTTAAACTCTGTGGCTGCACTCGTTAACTGTAGTAACTTTCCACTGAATGCTAGGAATGATTCCTTTTATTGTTATTCTGCAAGAACAGAGGAGGTGGAAGTAGCTTTTGGTTTATGAAGGATGACGTCTGAGAGTGGGGTGAATTGATCAGAAACATTACCAAAAAAGAAAGTGACATTTTCTATAATGTTAAAGTCTCTTCTAGTCTGATTTGAAGCACTCATTAATAAGAAAAACTTGGTCCTCCAGGTCTCAGAAAACTAAGGTGTGTCAGATTTGCATGGCAGTGTGCACTGGAAACTGTTTTGTGAAGCATCAACAATGTCAGGGTTGGATGGGAGCTTACTGTAGTGCATGTAGGAAACCAAGAGTTGTTCATAGCAGGCTGGTAGCCTGGTGATGAGTACTTTTAATGTCTTTATCCTGTTTTTTCCAGTCAAATGCAGATTCCCTTTATTCACTGTGGTGTGTTTATTAGGATACTCCCCTTTTGCCTCTTGCTTACAGATTGTTATTACTTGGGAAGATGGCTGTTGGTTTCCTTTGAGCGTGAGATGCTGGATGCCTACTTGGCTTTTGGGTGCAGTTAAAGGCTTATGCTTTTAAGTTTAAATGCAGGAGTAGTGAGCTAAATCAGGTAACCTGAATGTACTCTGAGCTTGTCTGTGGGCTTTGAAAGCACAAGCACAGGACACTATGAAATGGATAAGTAGTACAAGAAACCCCTTTCATGCATGCAAGTTGCATCAGTGGTATAAACTGGATATCAAGCTAGTATCAAACTTGTTGACAACAAATGTCAATATGACATTTCTTGTGGAAGGAAAGGAAAACCAGGATATGAGGAAGAGCCTCATACCTTTTCAGTCTTTGAGACTGGGTGCACGTGGAAATCCTGAACTTGGAAAAACAGTCCAAGAAGGACATCCTCCCCTGCACTTACTCTTGCAGTGTATGGCTTCAAAGCCACATGTCACCCAGTATCCACGGCTGTAGAGAGTTACCTGTGACTCCCTTTTAGGTTTGTCATGCATACTTCCTAATCAGGTAGTTCAGTCCTTATTGCACTGGCAAAAGGCACCTGGTCCTTGGGAAGCCCAGCTGACTTGCCAGACAGGCTGTGCTCCTATGGAGAATGGCATCTTTTCAGTCTCCCAGGATGGAGTTTTTCCTTTTCTTGTTGAGAGCATTTATGTACACTTTACCTGTATTCTGTTCTGACATTCCTGAATGCCAGTGCCTACTAATCTGCTAATGCAAATATTTATCCAATTAAGCAATTAATGTGAATTTTAGAAGTTGAAGTGAAATACTGAAGGTACACTTCAAGCACTTTTTAAATGGTACTTGAATGTAGCTGATGAGAGGCACAAGCACTCTGGTGTTAGTAGCCTGCTTTATTAACATATTCTTCCTCAGTTCATTTACTTAAAATTTCTTAACTACCTGTACACTGATAGGCATTATTATTTATAGCATTGTCTTGTCTACAAAAGGCTGTTAGTGCTAATGTGGTTGTCAGAGGAGGTAGGTATGAGTAACAGAAGGGTAATTTAAAACTTCAAATGCACAGTGTAACTGCTAGTGTAGCAAGCAAAGTGGGACTTCAGAAATGGACAAAACCAAACATCCCATTTACCTACCCTGAAACTCCTCACTACCTTCAAATTTTCAGACACCCTAGATGTGCCACCACCTAAGGGATTCACCTTCAAAACACACCTGATGTTTGGGACAGAACATCAGCTACTCATGCCCTTGCACCATGGCACAAAACATAAAATACTCCCATTCTATTCCAGAGGATGCTAGTTATCTGCAATGCTATTAGACCCTGTATGACTGGAATGACTGTAATGAGACATTTAAGACAGAAGTAGCATCATTTGAAATTTTTCACCAGTGTGTTTTGGTACATTGGGTTATTTTCTGTTTTGAGCAACTTTTTCCATGTTCTTGAAGGGCTAATGAAGAGCAATGTTTTATTTTGTTGGGTTTTTTTCCACAAGGTAAAAATGTAAATAGACCCATAAGACTTATGAGTATCATAAATGTTGTTTGTGACACCCAAACAGTGAGCCTGGGTTCTCAAGATTAGACTAATGAGTGTAAAATTTGCCTTTTTGCATATCTGTCTCAAGCAACACTTACATTCTATAATGATGGCATCTGTTTACAAGAAAGCTGTCTTCCAAGAAAGAGGTAAGAAAAAAGTGTTCCTTCTTGTAACAGAGTTTGCCTTTCACAGAGGCTCTGTGATTTCTCCTGGAGAGTTGACTCTAGTGTCTTGTGGCAAGCCTTTGTATAGAAGTTAACTTAAGCCCTTTTTCTCTGCACCACCAGGAGGGATGACAATATAAGATGCTGTAGAAAACAGTAAACAACAAGTGCTAAAAACAAATTGGTTGTGTGTGCCTTGCATTTGTGATCTTTCATCTGTTTTAGCTCAATTGCTAAAAAAGCAGGGATTGTAGCTATGTAAACAGAAGAAGCAAGGACACTTGCCAGCATTCTCATATGATGAATTATTTACCATTGATTGCATCAAAATTAAAAGAAGATTGAAAGGGAGCATCCAGATCATGAAGTCACATTTCCTGAAATCACAGACCACTGTGCTGTGGGTACTTAGAGATTAGTTTTCTGTAATTGTGCGAATGGAATAGCACAAGACCTGTGTTCTGCCCTGTTGTGCTTTCCTTCATGTTATGAGGTGCCTGTTTTACAGAAGATCTTGCACTTGTATCTTGCTTTGAAGTGACAGTGTGATGGTTCTCAAGCTCATCAGATGTGTGCAGCTTGGTAGGCCGGGTCCAGATTCATAGAGGAATGACATTGGGTTACACTGAAACACTCTGGTAAATCAAATAATTGCAAGTTAGAGACTCAGCAAAGTTTGCATCTATTCTTAGTTGTGCGTGTTCTTGGTCTTTTTACAGTTTATTTTCTGTTCTTTGTTTTAAAGATCTTGTTCATCTCTGAACTGAATGATGTCCTTCTGCATATAAAGGAGATATTTTATTTTCTTGGTGATTAACAAGGAATCTGAACTGTCAAAATATACTTTCCTTAAGAGCCAGGTGAATAAAGGACCAAATGTTTCTATGATGTTAACTTGGTCTCCACCCTCTCAATCATATTGTGAAGTAGAGGTTAAACTGCATATGTCTCTTTGGCAGCAGCAGATTAGCAGGTGTTCCAAAATCCCTGCAACTTTTGTGGGAAGGACTGAAATATCCTTCAGAGATGGCTTCATCTTAGAGTTTTAAGAGGTATTTTGACATTTATTTTCACCTTTGGTGTTTTCCTTTTTAGTCAGTGATTGATTTATGAGCTAGCAAAATCCCTCACCAGGGCTACATATCCTATTAATCCCAGGGTGAGGACCTTGAATTGTTAAGAACTTGCTGCTTCTTGCAAAAATCCATGACTAACCAAGGAATTACATTGCTCTGATTTTATCATCCTTTAAAGGGCAGTGCTTTTGATTTGCTGAAATGGATAGGACTCCTCCCAACAGGCTGACATCTAAAAGGAGTTGAGATCTGATTGCTTGGCAAATCAATGTAATGGGAGAGTGCAGAGCACATGTCTTTTGGACAGAGGTCTGCAATCCTCTGCCCATCGCTATAACTGTGGACTGGGGCAAGAAGAAAAGGGGTCCCACAAAGGTTTGTCTTGTTCATCTTTTGCAGTCCTGGTGGGACCTTTAGACAAGCAAATGCACCTATTGAACTGGGGTAGAACATGAAAAAGTCTTTTTAGTAATTAGAATCCAGGATATGGCCATTT